CCCTTATATTCTAGATAATATCTGATCAACATCCTTGCTATAGACTTAGGATCTTTATTGTTGTTGTTTTAATATTTTGCCTGGAAAAGGGTTGAAGGAAATTTTTCTTTCTTTTAGATGCTGTTACAGAAACTGAAAGGTCCTCCTTATACCCCATTGGATATCAGTATTTTCCCTCAGTCAGAATCCAGAATGAAGAATTCCCGATCAGGTGTAGACTCTGGGATTGGAGAAAGTGTACTTGTCTCCAGTGGAACTCGCACAGTAAATAGTGACAGGTTGCAGACACCATCCTCAAAAACTTTTTCCCCTGCCTTCTTTAGCTTGGTGCAGCTCTGTTTGCAACAAGATCCAGAGAAAAGGTAATATTTTCTAAATAAGATAAAACACACATCTTTTATTTTTTATAGAACCGTTGTGTCCCTTCCTGCTAAATTCAAATCTTTAATCAGTCTTTTGATCAAAAAATTATAGTCTAATCTAGACAATATCAGTGCTAAAAACAAATAGATGTGGTGAGCAAGAAGAAAGAATACAGGACTCAAAGTCAGAAAACTTGGCTCTAGTTTTAGCTATTTCATTTCCTAACCAAGTTACCTTGTAAAAATCAGTTAATCTTTCTGGACATTAATTACTGCATTTATGTTAAGACATTTTAGAAATTTCCAAGCAGTACAAAAGTATTAGTTGCTGCTAGTGTAATAATATAAATTATTATAGATAACTATATATTATTAATATTTTGGAAATAAAGTGTGTGTCTTATTGGTTTTTAGCTTCTTAATGCCTAGCATAAGCTCCTTATAAATAGTAAGTGCCCTGTAAATGTTTAGTTATGGATTAATTGAAGGATATCTCTAGAATGAATTCTTTTCATTAGTCAAGGAAGCTAAGAATTGGGCTTCTGACATACATTATTTTAATTTTTTAGTATTGTGTTTTATAGCTCTAAACCTAATTTCTAATGTATTTTTACATCTAAAAATCTACATTCTAATATGAGGTTCTATTTTTTTGTAACTTTAAAAAATGTTTAGGCCATCAGCAAGCAGTTTATTGTCCCATGTTTTCTTCAAACAGGTAAGCTGATCTTTTTTCTGTCTAGATGTTTTTAAATGCTATTAAAAAGTCATTTTATTTATTGTCTTATGGGACAGTTTGGTTGCCAAGATTCTTAACAATAACTTTCTTACAAAATAAAGTTAAAATCAGGAAAACATTTTGGTGGTTCAGTTACAGACTTTCTAAAGTATATCCATTCTGCAAAATGAATAAAAACAAACAGAATAACATCGTATGTGACTATATCCTCAGTTGGTATTTTGATTAATTTAGAGACATTTTATTTTTTTCTATATTGTCTAGAAATGATTTAAGGGCAGAACAGTTCTGATAAAAATCAGTTTATTTGCCTGTCACTTCTTTCTGTTTTCAGATGACCAGAGTCAAAGGTATTTTTAGTGAAAATACCTAAAAACTTTTAATGATTTCTTTAAAAGTTATTTATTGCTAACGAAACTAATGTATTGAAATTATGTACCAACAGCCTTATTTTGAGTTTCTTTAACAGATGAAAGAAGAGAGCCAGGATTCAATGCTTTCACTGCTGCCTCCTGCTTATCACAAGCCATCAACAGCACTGCCTCCAGCATCACCTTGGACTGAGCCACAATGTGATTTTCCTGATGAAAAAGACTCAAACTGGGAATTCTAGAGCTGCCAAATCCTTTTATGTCCTATATACTTGACACTTTCTCCCTGCTGCTTTTCTTCTGTATTGCTAGGTACAAATACTAGAATTTTACTTGAAAATACAGTTGGTGCACTGGAGAATCTATCATTTAAAACCACTCTATTCAAAGGAGCATGAGTTTATAGCCCCTTTGGTTAGCTCAGAGTGCTATTACAACTCCAGGGAAAGTTCAGAATTAATCTAGCTACATTTAGTGTCATCTGTTCTCAGAATATTTTCCAAAGCTGTGACTAACTCTTCTTCTTGACCTCTCAATATAATTTTTGAGCCAGTTAATTCTTTCAACATTTGCTGTCCTCAGGGGAATGAGCCCTCAATGGACAGTGCTTCCAAGTACATTTTTTACTTCCAGATTCTCTAGCCTTTTTGATCAGCTGTTGTTAGACCAACAGGCTAGTTTATCCTGGCATCAAACCTTTTTTTTGGTAACAGGAAAAATGTTTATACTTTCCCATTTTCTTCTATTAATACTTATGGTAATATCAAACTGAGCCTCACTCACATTAAATGATTCACTTGAAATATATACAGAAGTTGTGATTGGCTTTTTTTTAAGGGGCTAAAGTAACACTTTTCTACTTATGTAAATTAAAGACCCTAAATTCATGCACCCTGTGGGAGCTCAATAAAGATTTATTGAATTGAGTTTGTGCTTTTATTTATTTTCTTTGTGTGGTTTGACAAAGCTAAAACAGATTCTAATTTGTTTGATTATTATATGATTATTCTTGTTCCTATAGGTGATACAATATATAATGACACAGAGATCTTAATTCATGGTATGACCATATTAGCAAAAGGGAGATGCTGTGTCTCAAAGAGTGTGTAGTTCAAACTGTGGTAAACTAGGACCTATCAGTTAGTGGATTTCTTAATCTGTGTACTCTTATATAACATTCTGTTAAAAATTATTTTTAAATGATTGTCTCAAGACTAAAAAAATAAAATTAGATAGTATATAAATTAATAGACAATTTAGCCCAGCCGGTGTGGCTCATTGGTTGAGTGTCTACCCATGCACCAAGAGGTCACCAGTTCGATCCCCAGTGAGGGGCATCGATGTTCTCTCTCGTCGATGTTTCTATCTCTCTCCCTCTTCCTTTCTCTCTCTCTAAAACCAATAAAAACAATTAAAAGACAATTTGAAACACAAACCTTTTCATGTGTATTGGCCATTCCCATCAAGAATGTTTAGGCCACTCCAAGTAAGCCACAAAGAGCTGCCAAGGTGGAAGAGGGAGAGATGAGTACCAGTTGAGGCCCTGAGATCACATGTAGTAGTGGGGGCTGCAGTATTCCACTAACCTAAATTTCCCGTCAACGAGAGAGGCTCACAGGAACCATAGAGGAGGTTCTCCTGAATCTGTGGAGCATTGATATGTGTAGTGCAAAAGGTAGACTGTGGAGACCGTGAAACAGTACCTCTAAGATCTGTGAGTGTATTATGGTTCTCCAAAGGAACAGAACCAGTAGAAGCCTTATAAGAAATTGTCTCATGATTGTGAAAGCTAACAAGTCCCAAGACCTGCAAGGTGAATGGGTTAGCTGGAGACCTAGGGAGAACCGTGGTGGTACAGTCCAAAGGCTGGAAGGCTGACCCAGGAAGAGCTGATGTTTCTGTAGGAGTCCAGAGGTAAGAAAAGCTGATGCCCCAGTTTGAGGCTCAGACAGAAGGAATTCAGGGGGAGGGTCAGCCTTTTCAGACCTTGAATTGAAGAGGCCCACCCACATAAAGGAGGGCAATCTGCTTTATTTAGTCTACTGATTTAGATGTTAATTTCATCCAAAAATGCCTCAGAAAAACCAAGAACAGTGACCAAATTCCTCCACTCTTCCCTTGCTCTGCTTCACTGGGAACTACATTTCCCATGCACCCTCACTCTAGTGTCAAGGGAGTCAATAGTGGAAAATCAGAGGGCAGAGAGAGAGAAGGAAAACAGCATTTCTCACCCTTTACCCCTCTCCCCCATTTCTTGTGAGGTCCCTGGCTTTAGGGCTCTGCTAGCTCCACTTGCTCTTGCTGTCTCTTCCGTCTGAGGGGTAGTAGCACTTCCCACTCTTGCTAACTTCTGAATTGACTCACCATCCCTTTCTTAGCATTGATTTCTTCGCTCATTAAACCAGTTCAGTGTGTTCCTTCTACTTGGAGATCCAGTTATATCTTTTCCCAGTTACACCAAGACTGAAATAAGTACAACTTTGGGATTACTAGAAATTCTTGATCTAAAAAAAAAATCACTACCTTGATTATACCATTAAATGAATGATCAGGAATTGAATTTTCTATCAGCCAATCTATTTATTTATTTATTATTTATTTTTATTTTTATCCTCGCCCGAGGACATTTTTCCATTTTTTGTTCAGATAGAGTGGGAGAGAGAAACATCAACATGAAAGGTACATATCGAGTGGCTGCCTCCCACACAACCCAACCAGGGCCAGGGACAAACTGCAACTGAGATATGTGCCCTTAGCGGGAACCGAACCCTGGGCTCTCTGGACCACAGGCTGATGCTCTAACCGCTGAGCTAAACCGGCCAGGGCTATCAGCCAATCTATTTAAACACCATAGGTGTTATAATTTATGGGAGAAAAATGGAAAGTGATAAAAATTCTATAAATTGAAATTTTTGCTTCTCAAGAATGAACCAAATTCCATAAGATCCAAATACTATACTTGATAGGAATGAAACCGAGTTTCAGAAGTCTCTGATTTAAATCCTAGGTTGATTTAGCTAGGTAATATTCTAGGCAGTTTCTACAATTTTATGCAGCTTCCTGAGTTTCGTGTTATTAAAGAGGCCCTTTCATAGTTCTTCAAGTAAGAAAGTCACTACAGTGTAGGAGATGCCTCAGGAATTAGTATTAAATCTATTATCTTTATAGTGTGAAAAGTTGTAATAGCTGATATTAAAATTAACAGAAGTTCGACAGACCTAAAGAACTGCATTCTGTTGAATCAAGAAATATAACTTAAGCTGAAGAGTAAAATTCTAAACTGCAGATAGAGAACCTGAAAACTGGGTGGACAGGGTTAATGTAGAGCATAATAATGATCTGAGAAATCAGAGGACTATGGAATGATATTGTTAAATAGTGAACAAAAAGGAAAAGCTGGGAATACAACTTTGCTAATGAATATTAACTGAATATGTATTTCTGGGTTTGTTCCCTAATGGTTCATAAACAAAAACACATTTACATCAAAAACTGTTTCTTTTTCACTTTATTTAAAACAAAATGGTTCTAACAAGATGAAATTTGGTTGCTGACTTCTATCACACAAAAGGACAGATTTCCAAACCATTTTGTTAATTGGAGAAGTGGTATTCTGACTGTTGGCCTCACATATCCTTCTGACCTGTTTAACAATTGGATACTATCACGAATGAGCGAACATTTTTCAGCGATTTCCTTCTTTTTTTTTTGCTGCATTTTATGGATTTCATAATCTGGGATTGTATCATTTAAATGAATTAAGCCTGCTTGAAACCCTTCTAGAACTTGTACATTTTCCAATGTAGCTTTCTCGTCGTTTGTTAATGTCTGGAGCAGTATTCGGTCTCGTGGAGTGTTTTAAATGATAATGGCTAGCATCTGGGCTCTTTTCTAAAAGGCTTGCTCTTGATTTCACTTTTTCAAGATGATGAAATGAGGTCAGAGGTAAATCCTCAAATCTGTCAGAACAATCCTAAATATTAAAATAGAAGATCAAGTTGGTGAGTTAGGCTTCTTAAAAGTATATTTTAAATTTATAAGGACCAAAGTTTGTTAACACTAACAGTTAAAAACAAAAAATGAGACCATCAAATGTTTTATAGGTAAATTCAGATACTACACCCAATGCCTCCCATTAGAAACTACTATAGTAATCATGCTTTAAAACAAAACAAAACGATTGTTTCAAAGGATCTATTATTTCAAAAGGAATGGAAGATACAGAGCTTGAAATCAGATTAATTTAGGAAAGTTGTCCTCAGGGGTCAGACTCCTGGGCAAAGCTAAACAGCCTGTTCTATAATTCTTCTCCTGCAAAATACATCTTCCCCAAACTCAAGTATAAATTATGAACTCTTATGCTTTACTTTTTATCTCCAAATTGTCATTCCTTAAAAGTTGATAAACATTTTTAATACACACACACACACATCAGCATCTAAGAATATGGTTATAATGTTTATATTAAAATAATAAAAAATTTGTCTACATTTTGAGAATAAACAAGTAGAATATTCAGGGAAAAAAACTTAACGATATACACCAAAATAACTTTTTTAAATGGTGGCAATGCTAGGGTGGTGGGATTATGGGCTTTGTTTTCCTTTTCTCTTCAAATTTTTTATAGTATGGCTATATTTTATAGTAAGTTACAAGTACCCATAAGAGGATATGGAGCTACTAGTCATTCCCAAATTGGTGTAAACTAGTTTCCTCTGCAGTTTGAGCACCTTGTCTGAACACTTCAGAGAGATGTCCACACCAAGGAAATGAGCTGCTTTCGTTTGGGGAGAAAGTGAAAGTGGATTATTAGAATTGGAGGGTTGTGACAGGACTAAGAAGAATTAGCAATAAAGAGAAGATTTACAAATAGGAAGTATTATGAGTCTAAAGACAAATTCAACCTACTTTACATTTTTTGCCTTGGTTTGCAGAGGTCAAGGAAACATTCTTCCTCTTCCCTCTCATGTACATAGAGCATTTAGATAAACCACATTATTCAAAGAATTTCTGCGACATTGGTGAATAACATATAAGAGCTTCACAGTAGACGGAACTGCTACAGTGTCAGTAGAAGTGCATGGAGACCCACACAACTGGTTCTTTATCTGGATGCTCCTGCAACTCAGTTTCTGCCTTCAGTTTTGATTCCTTTGGGAGATTCTTGGGTTTTAGAGAATCATATGAGCAAGTCATTCTGATGATCTGAAAAAAATCCCTTACTGTGCAATTCTCTGTTGCCAACGTCACTAGAGAGAAAGGTTTAGGTACCACTGGTCTAACAGAGGGAAATAAAGATAACTCTATCTCCCTTGCCCACTCTTAGAATAAGGATGCTGAGACTCTTTATGATCCCATAACATATAATATAAACACAATTTCTTGTTTTGTTTGAAAGTGATATTAATGATTGCGTTTGTCTCAAGGAACTTCAAAAAGTCTGTCTTTTCCAAAGCCTGTAAACCCATCTTCTTCCTTTTCCTAGTGCATACACACCTCACTCATTTGACACTAAATTACTGACTTTAGATAGAAAGGAGAAATCCAAAGTGGAGAATATAAGCTATAGTAATAGTATTTACCCTGTTACTAATTTGCTTTACTATTTACTAAAACTGAATATTTGCTTTACTATGGAAAATCAATTTACTATGAAAATTCAACTATTCTAAATTAGATATATTTTCTCATTCAAAGACAGTATTACATCAAATTACCATAATAACATAATTTTAGAATGCATGAGTTTCCTGATTGTAGGTCATACCCGTTTACATATACCAACAGGTAAGAGCAGTAGTCAAGAAAATTAAAATATGTCCCTTCCATTCCTAGATTTTCATTTTCTTTAGAATAGTTTATATAAAGCCTAGTAGCAGATTTACTTTACTGTTTTATGTAGTATTAAAAATAGATTTGCAGCCCGGGCCGGTTAGGCACAGCGGTTAGAGCGTAGCCCCATGGACCAGAGAGGCCCGGATTGGGTTCCTGCTAAGGGCACAAGCCTCAGTTGCAGTTTGTCCCCGGCCCCGGTTGGGGTTGTGGGGGTGGCAGCAGGTCAATGTGTCTCTCTCCCTTCAATGTTTCTCTCTCTCTCTCTCTTCCTCCCTCTCTCCTTCCCGCTCTATCTGAAGAAAAATGCAAAAATGTCCTCTGGTGAGGATAAAAAAAAAATAGATTTGCATTCCCAAGTTTGTCAGCACACAATATAGCGGTGGGGTGGTGATAAAAGAAGAGTAGATATTAAAATTTTGCAGTTCATCCATTTTCCATACCCTAATGCTTAGCAGAATAACTGGCACAATATCATCTTTATTTTCTGAAACACACAGTTCAGCGACCTGTAAAAAGACTATATATTCAAACCTATATCTGCATGAAAAGAAAACCCCAGCTGTGTTTCCACAGCAGACAGCCGCTGCCAGTGGTCGTACAGCTTGTGCCTGTGCAGCAGCCCCTGGCCCAGGGGTGAGCTGGGGCTGAAATCCAGCCAGTTCCCCAAACACAGGGTGTGTGCTCTGGTTCCAGGCTGGGTCAGCCTGCAGAGACTTCCCTGAAGGAAGGGTGCCTTTGTCTAATTCATATTCCACAGGGGGTGCCCTTTATCTATTTTATACCAAGGCACTCAGTGTGATTGCATTTGGAATCAGGTAAGGTGATATTTGAATATCAGAATAAATTTTTTTTTTAATTTGGAGGTCTACACATCTTGGGGCAATGAAGGTTACACACACACTGCATGCAGATAGATAGATAGATAGATAGATAGATAGATAGATAGATAGAGATAGAGAGATGATAGATAGATGTGGGCGGGGGGGAATCTCCTAAAGTAGATTATTTACAGAACTTTGCAAAATACAGAGGTAGAAGACTCAGGAAAAGATTATTACATGTATAGTTCTTCTTGCAGTCCAGTGACACAAGGTCCTGGGAACAGATTTCCTCAGCATTCTTGTGGGGGGCGGTGTGGCTGGCGGTACCTTAACAATCTTAAGTGATTTTTTTTGGTTGTTGACATGGTTTCTTTCTTTTTCGAGCTTGGGTTTTGGATTTTCTCTCTTTAATACATCTGGGAAGAGGAATAATCTTGAGTTTTTCTCCGTTTCCACAACTTGATGTTTAAACGACTGTGATTCAAGGAACCCGGCACGTTTTTTATTGCAAATTTCACTTGGTTTTACATAAAGAGCTTGTATTTCTCTTTTGTAGTGTGCAAATGTTCCTAAATGTTGTTTTTTATTATTGTTATTATATCCTTGAGTTCTCTGACAAAACTGGTCTAATTTTGAGTTCTCTCCAGCCTCTGAACTGAAATGAGTTAAAGTGTTACTGGGCCTGGAAGGAAAAGGGAAGCTGTTTACTAATTCTTCATCTTCATGCGGCATTTTGCAGTAAGGAATTCTGGGATACATTGACAACACTGCTTCAGGTTTTTCCTGTACCGTCAATTTATAGATGCCATTATGTTCCTTTTTTTCAAGTGACTTCATTTTTAGTGTCCTTTCAAAGCAAGCGTTTGATTGAGGGATTTTTGATTTATCACTCCAACTCTGTGAGTCTTGAATCTCTGTTTCAAAATATAAATTTTCCGCTTGAGGAAGCTGCGTGAAACCATGTTCTTTCCTTTGTTTCAGAAGCACTGTATCAGTGCGTCTTTCTGACGACCTCTGTAATGGAATTGCTTGGGTATTTTTGTTGGAAGAAGGTTGTACTTTCATTAAAGTCAGTATTTTCTGTTCTCTAATTATTGGTGGATTTTCTTTAATATTCTGTAAGGGAAAATACTCCTTTTCTTCCATTCTGGTCAATTCTGTTTCTATAACATTATCCTCAGGAGCCTTCTGTAAAGTGGTTTTATGAACAATTTTTGAATATTTATTTTGCATTTCTGAATGCTTCTCCTTAAATTGATTTTCATCTCTGAAAGTTAAATCTGGCTTTATACATTTTAATTGTGTGGGCCTAGACTGAATCAAGTTTATGTGGTTGCTGATTCCCTGTAATTGCTTTTCAGTGATTAGTCCTGATTTTGAAAGTTTTTCTACAAAACATCTCTGGAAGTACTTGCTTAAATCAGCTTTTAGATTTAACAGTTCATTGTCTGATAAAGCTACAAGACAGTTTTGTAGAGATTTATTTAAAGGATAATTCATGTTTAGTGCAAGCCTTCTACCAAAACTCCCCTTTGAAATGTCTTGTCCTAACTCGTGAAAAGATATTGAAGCACTTTCAGTTCTTTGAGAAGATATGTTTGAGTGCACAGGTTCAGCTTCTGTCTCTTTAAATAAACTGCATTCCGAAAGATTTTTTAGGAAATAGTTTTGAAGAATTTCATTTAAAAAAGATCTCAGCCTTATTTCCAAATGTTTATCTATGAATTGATGATTAAAATTATTTACAAAAGACATGGTTTCTTTTACGATTTCTGAATGTTTCTCCAGAAAAACATTTTGCCCCTTTGGTTCTGCTTTCTCATTCATCAAATACAGGTTTTGATAGATTTTTGGTAAGTCCTCTTTGGTGATATGTCCAGATTCTGAAAGTTTTTCTACAAGGTAATGCTGGATATGTTTACTTAATTCAGATTTTAAATTTTTTATTTCTGACTCTGAGAGTGCTTCTAGAAATACACGCAGCTTTGGATTCAAACTAGGTTTTCTGTCTAATTTGTCTGTGTCATCAAAATTCTCTTTGATTTCTCCAAGGTCTTCTGCATTATTTGGAAAAGGATGTTGAATTAGTCTTTCTAATTCTTTTTCTGGTTGTCTTCTCTTTTCAGACTGATTATATTTTAAAAAAACATTAAATATGTTTTTGAAAAAGGAGTTTAACATTATAGCATCTGACCCATTAAATTTACCCATTAACAAGTTACTAAAATTTTCTAAGATAGAACTTAGATCATTTTCTTCTCTATAAAGCCTCTGACCATTACTTGGCAAATCTGTTTTTTTATCTGGTGTTGATTGATATTTTGAATCTTGTGGGGATGTATTTTGGCCTTTGTCTACAAATTCGACTCTATTAAAAAAAGAAGTGGTTTCTTTGGGAATCATGGGTATATTCTGCTTTGAAAGAGAATCTGTTTTGCTTTTGATTTCTGAATAGTCCTCTGTGAAGTCCTTTGGCTTTTCTTCAGCAAAGGCTGTCTCTGTATCCAGCACAGAACTCTTCTGGTATTTTTTATCTAATTCCATCACGTTGATTACCCCAGATTCTAAAAGAGAATCTATAGGAAATGCTTGTATTATTTGGCTTATAACAGATCTGGCCTCCGGCAATTCTATTTCATTATCATTTTCTTCATAGTGAACTAGAATATTTGAAGATAAACTCTCCCAAGCTGTGGGTAATTGATCCTGCCAGTTCATCTGTATCTCACTGGAATCTTCCACTTCCATTTCCAACTTGGAGAAGATTGGGGCAGTGAATATTTGCTTTATAATATAATCATGTGTGATACTATCGAAACCTGGTTTGGAGCTGGGCACTTCACTTTCTAAATGTTTCTTTTTGAAACTACTCTTCTTTTTCATTGGAAAAGCTATCTCTAAAAGTTTTTTAGCCTCTAAATCTTTTTCAGAGACAAGTTCCCTTTCTACCTCTGGAGAATTTCCTGGCCCATCTTCTGACAGTGAAACTCCAGGAATATCTTTAATTATTGGATTTACAAGAGACTTTGAATTCAAAATGTCTCCTTTTGAAAGCCAGCTATTTAAATCTTGGATTTTTTCAAATATTTTCCCTTCCAAACTACTTGGTGGTTTATCATGAACACTTAGAAATGGAGAACTTTGACTTTTCTCTCTTGCTTCAGTGTCCATAGGAATTTCTGGTCTAGAAAATAATTTATCTGGAAGGTCTTGCAGATTTTTACTTAAAACTGACTTGAACACCATTGATTGTTTTAAGTTTTCTATGTGGGAAGTAAGACTTAATGATTTTGAGAGGCGATATGAATTTACATTTACATTTCCAGTGAGTGATGATTCTCCTCCAAAGTTTGGTAAAGAGACATTTGGTAGTCTTTCCTTTAACTTGTTCATAATATCTAAACTCTCTATTGTGGTGAAACTAGGATCAAGGGCTAAATTATTCTTAGTGTTTGAAGTCTTTATTGCGCTGATATCAGGATTATGGGCTAACTTTTCTTTCCTGTTTACAGTCTTAGTGTCTACAGGGCTGACATCAAGACCATGGGGCCAGGTTTCATCAGCAGGTCTCGGAGTTCTTGAATGTGTTAGGAGAGGAGGATCTTGGTCTTCATATTCTATAACCTCTGCACTTGAAACGTTTCTACATTTGGACATATTTTGATCGTTCCTTTTACTGACTGACATTATGTTGTGTATATTCTTTAGAAAAGGAGCAAAACCATCCTTGGTGTTGAAATTCTGTAAAATAAAAAATAAAAAGGTAAGATATTCTGTAATATTACTTTTGAGTTTATAATACATTTTCTAGCTAATTTTTTTGAGCAATCTGTTGATTTATCTATTCATCTTCCTACCTTCTACAAGGAGAAAACTAACAAATTATTTTTAAAATATTTGAAATTTTAATGGAAATTTTTAAAATTCCTAACTCTGACACTATTTTATCTCTAAGAGCTTTCTGCTACCGGAATATTTGTAAATGTGGAAAAGGCATTAACAAATAGTTCTTTTAAAATTCAATTTCCTGGGTTAGCTGCATTTGCTTAAACAATGGCTAACATCAGGATCTAAGTCCTGGCCATATAAATATTTACCATTTTAGTATCAATTTAGGAAATTTTTAGAAATTTCAAAGTAGTATATGTTCCAGAGAAAGGGGCATATATCATCTGCCTTTAAGGCTGAGAATTTCAACAATGATGAGTTCCACTCAACCCTTAGCACATCACAGTAAAATCTTGTTTTTTGATAAATACTATATATGCCTCAGAAATGGTTAAGAGACAGCAGTACACAAAATTCTGGGTTACAGAGAAATCTCTGTGTGACACAGTCCCAGAGCTCTGGGATCAGACTGTTCTATCACTGAAATCGCCTTCAAAATGAAGTCGTTTGTTCAATCCCTTTGTCCACACAACTTCTACATTATCCGACTAAAAAAAGCAAAATGTAAAATAATCAGCCTAAAATCAGTTTTAGTTTATTTCACCTTAGTAGTTCAAGCTTCATTTTAATTGTTACAATTCATTATAACTGTTTTTCAAATGCTAGTTGATACTCAGATGACAGCATAGGAACCCCCTTGGGTTTTTTGAGAAGCACAGATTCTTAGGCTCTGTTTCCAGTCTGAGATTCATTAGGTCAGAGGTAGGACCTGGGAATATGTATTTTTAAAAGATAGCCCAGTGTTTCTAATGAGTAATTTGGTTTTGGAGACATTGAATTACATAATGTATTAGAGAAGCCTAGTAGCTAAGTATAATTGTATTGGGATATGATAACTCAGCACTCACCTGATATTTTGGTTTGACTTCTATATATTCTGGTCTTGAAGGTGGTACCATGTACTGTTTTTGTAAAAAAACCACCTTATAAAAAGAGAAGTTTTAATTTTAGACTGCTTGTAATGAAAGAATATTTCCCAAGTTTCTCATAACTACAATACTTTTCCAATTATCAAAATAAATTTGTATATATAGATACACATATATATGTAATCTTAGCTTCCTTAATCCTATAATATTGATTCTATTGAATATTAAAATCAAAACAATGCACAACTTCAAAGAGAAGCACAAGTAGAAAACAGAACTGTCAGAACAAATTGTAATCTAATTTTTAAAAGGTTGTGAAATGCTTTAGATAACAAATGGCATCTGATAATATATTGAAATAACATTCTCAAAGCTTCTCAGCCTGTAATTGTTAAATTCATACTTAATACTGCCCGAGAAAGCACTTGGTGCTAACTCAAGGTTTACAGGACCAATTATAGAATCACACAGCCATTAAATTTTTAGAGATAGAAGGCACTTTACAGATAATCCAGTCCTACTCCTTGTTTTACACAAGAATCTGAAGAAGTGAACCATTGTGTACTGTTGGTGGGAAGGTAGATTGGTGTAGTCACTGTGGAAAGCAGTATGGAGTTACCTCCAAAAATTAAAAATGGAATTGCCTTATGACCCAGTGAGTCCACTTCTGGAAATTTATCCGAAGAAACTCAAAACACTAATTTGAGCCCTGGCCGGTTTGGCTCAGCGGTTGGAGCGTCGGCCTGTGGTACAGAGAGACCCGGGTTCGGTTCCCGCTAGGGGCACGTACCTCGGTTGCAGTTTGTCCCCGGCCCTGGTTGGTCGTGCGGGTGGCAGCCACTCGATGTGTCCCTTCACATCGATGTTTCTCTCTCTCTCTCTTCCTCTCTCTCCCTCCCGCTCTATCTGAACAAAAAAAGAAAAATGTCCTTGGGTGAGGATAAAAAAAATAAAATAAAAACAAAACACTAATTTGAAAGAATATATATACTCCTATGTTCATTGCAGCGTTATTTACAATAGCCAAGATTTGGAAGCAGCCCAAGTGTCCATCGGTAGATGAGTGGATAAAAAAGCTGTGTTTTACATTTACACAGTGGAATACTACTCTGCCGTAAAAAGGAAGAAAATGTTACCCTTTGTGATAGCATGGAAGGACCTGGAAAACATGCTAAGTGAAATAAGTCAGTCAGAGAAAGACAAGTACCATATGATTTCACTTGTGAAATTTAATGAACAAACTGAACTACCAAGCAAAACAGAGACAGACTCAGATAGAGAGCAGGCAGACAGCTCTGGCCGGGGAAAGAGGGGGGAGTGGGTAGGTCTTGGGGGTGGGGTGGAGGGATTGAGCAAAAAAGAAAAAAAAGAGAGAGAACTCATGGACAAAAGTGGGGTGATTGTGGAGGTTTGGGGGCAGGAAGGATGGGGGAAGGGGATTGGTGGAGTTGGAAGAGGAGAAAGAGGGGATAAATGAAAAAATTAAATTAAATTTAAAAAATGAAATAAAAAGCTAAATATATCCTGAAAAAAATTTTGAAGTTGAAGTTGATTGCCTCAAGTTACCCAGATGATTAGAAACTTAAATCCTAAGTGTCCTAAATTTTCATCTGACGCTCCTTCCACTGCAGTCAAGACTTCAGTGAGGAAGAATGGCACTTCAGAAACATCATAATGTGCCTCCACATTGCCAGCGCATCTAGAGAGAACCTGTCACCATCCCTTTGCAGAACATTTTGTAGCTGGAGCCTCGGACCCTTCTTAATCACTGTCCTCTTTCTCAGTGCGTCCAGAGCACACACTGCTGCCACTTCCTTATACATTATCTCCTGTAGTCCCTAGAGCAGTCATTATATATCAAGTTAGTTTAACTAACAATTCAATGAATGATGTTTTCATAAGAAATATATATTTTTAAATTGTATCTTTCTTTTTTATTGAGGTAACATTAGTTTGTAACATTATATAAGTTTCAGGTGTACAACATTGTAAATCAACATCTGTATATGCTTATAGTATGCTCACCCCAAAAGTCTAGATCCCATCTATCATTAATATTAAGCAGTTATTATATAAAATAGCGGTTATTTAATTGCTTAATATTAATGAACACTTAAACCTATAAAGTTATTGTGTGTTTATTAATATTAAGCAGCTAATAGCATGACCTCATTCTTAACTCTTCAGTGGCTTCCTACTTTCGCTGTCATTCATGGCCCTCACACATACTGATTAAATTATTTCTGCAAGTTTCTCAGCATTCCCTACTATAGTTTCTGTCTTCCAGGAAAATGTGCCTAACTCAGAATTCTTGAAATATAGCTCATACACTTCCACACTTGCTGTTTTGCTCATTTTGTTTGAATTTCCCAAAATCTCTCTTAAAACAGTTTAAATTCTAACATTTAAAAGTTTATTGCTTGAAATAATTTTAGTAGAAATAGTAAAAATAAATGAAATATGTATGACAAGAAAGGAGAAGAAACAGCAGAAAAATGATCTCATATTTGTAAAAAACACAAATAAAAACTCCCATAAGCATGGAAAAAATGTGTGAAATGCTAACATTGTTTTCTCAAGAGAATAACTCTGGAGGAGAAGAAAGAAAATGCTATTAACTTTTACTCTGTTAAATTTTGTATTATTATTTAGATAAACATATAGTAGTACATTTGTGGATTAAAACCTCCAGTACAGTTATACAGGAAGGAAATGATCTAGACATTCATCTCAGGAAGACAGAAAAGGACAATAAATCAATGCAGGAATTTCAAATGGTATACTGAACATGTGGGTTTACGCTCTCCTACCTTCCAAGGTTCCAGTAAATTTACATAAAATAGTATATGTTTTAAAATCCCATGGCAATACTGGAAATCAGTAAGATGAGATGTTAGGATTCAGAAAGTTGAGAAAATATGGGAGCAGATGAGGTTGACTTAATGAAAACCCCCCATCAAGAAAACCAGAGCCTTAAATAACAGAAGTCAGGTGGGCCTAAGAAGCAATAAAGTCAAGGTCTGAATAAACAAAGAAAGTTAGATGACAGTGCAATTGTCGTAGTTGTTCATCAATCACTTGAACCCTTCCTTATCACTGTTCTTTTTCTCAGTGCATACGCTGCATATACTGCTGGCAGCATTGTCTTTCCCCAGTCACCCACCAAACATAAAAAAACAAAACAAAACAAAAAAACCCCTGCTTTCTAAAAAAAATGTGCCTCTGTGTAGGTGGAAAACCTATATGAGTTTCGAGTCTTTACAGAAAAGCAGAGTAGAGCCTGTTGTCACTCACTTTCCCACATCAGATAAGCTGAAGAGGGATATAAGAAAAGGAAAGGAAAGGAAATTCCATTCAGGAGAGAAACACATTGGTTCTTTGGAAATATAGGGTCCCCAGCCATCTGCCTGCTCTCTTCCATCCTACACATCCTCTAGGGAAGCCTGCCTACCACACAGAACATACCTGTGCAGTCAGCATATTCGTTCCTTCATTCACAAATATAAAATGAGTCAACAAAGTTCATCAGATGTATTAGGAAAATCAATACATGTAAATGAAGAATCAATAAGAACAAACAAACTAACTCCAGTAAGTAGAAACATTTCTGAGGGATGTGGGTGGACGGAAGGTGACCCTTGGGAAAGATTATAAATAGTATCCTCAGAGATATTCACTTAGCTGGATAATGGGCATCTCAAATATAATGTATACAAAATAGCATTATAAAGATTACCATTCTGCTCCCCTTCTCCCCCAAAACCCACAAATCTTGGTCTTTCTCTATTTTTCCTCATCTCAGTTAGTAGTGCTATCATCTACTGAATTGTCAGGCCAGAACCCTGAGTGTTGACTTTTATTTTTCTTCTCCTTCTGCTTTCCATATCAAATCCAGCATTAAGTCCTGTGGCTGCTGCCTTCAAAATATATCAAGTATCAGATTCCAAAATGGAGGCAGAGTGTATGGAAGCTACACAGACCATCTCCCAGGACCAAACTGGAATTACAATGAAAATAAAGACAAATTGTCGGGGGAAAAAACAACAGAAAAGCAGCTGGAGAGGACCCATATAACCAGCGACAGAAAAAGGACACTAAATTGAGCCTGGTAGGAACTGCAGAGGCACGAGAGGGTGGGCTGGAAGCCCACCGACAGCATCTGTTTTAGCTGTGAGCAGCTCCCTTGGGGTAAAACCCCAAGCAGGCTCCACAGTGCAGAGGGCCAGGACAGAGCAGTAAATTAGCTACAGCCACTCACCTTGGGCTCTGGCAGGGGGAAAGGCAGACTAGACTGGAACTGTGTGGAGACCCGTGAGCTTGGAGAGCTGGGACAGCAATGGGAGTCTTGTGCTGAAACACTTCCTCACAGGACAGTAGCCATTTACTCAAAGAGCCCCTTCACAGACAGAGACCTGGGGAGAAGCAACAGCCTCTCCCTCAGAAATTTAACACCACTAGGCCAGGCCAGAGAAATGCATATTGAGACTCATTAATGTCCAGCAAGCATCTGCCCCACCTGCTGGAAATCCTCTTACCCTGAACACCTGAGGGACTTTTTCATTCACTTGAGGGCTACAACCCAAGGCTCATCAAGTAACTGAGCCTAATAGCCTCCAGGCAAAAAGCTAGAGGATAACTGAACCTTTTCTGGGCTTGCAAATCTATCCAGGAGAGTAAGACCTGACAGTGGTGTTTAACATGGGTCCTCTCACACTCATCCAAAACCAGTAGAGGGAGCCACAACCAGTGGAACACCAACACCCATGGAGAAAATTTGACAGGCTCCAAAACCCACTGAGACAGCCAAAATGGTGAAACAAAGAAACAAATCCCAAATGAAGGAACAAGAGAACTCTACTGAAGAAGAGATAAATGAAATGCAGTTAAGCAAGTTATCAGAGGTAGAGTTCAGAGTGATAATAATGAGGAAGCTCAACAACATGATTAAAGAGCTCAACAACATGAGTAAAGATATAGAGACATTGAAAACCAACCAATTGGAAATAAAGAATGACATAGCAAAAATGAAAAACACATTGGAAGGAATAACCAGC